TTGGCCACGTTAATATTGACCATCGTCCCGATTGACTACGTTGAAATTGACCACGTTGCGATTGACCACGTCCCGATTGACTACCGTCCCGATTGACCACGGTCCCGATTGACCACAGTCCCGATTGACCACCGTCCCGAATTTCACATGGGTTTGCAACAGGGTGGATGGGGGGGGTGCAGCTGTGCGTGTACTATGCAACGCAAACTGGGATTTCACATAGGTTTATAAAACTGTGGGCAACTTAATCATACCTTATGTGAATATTTAAATTATTTTTTAAATTATTTTTTTATTATTATATTTATAACTAGTTATATTAATTTAATTTTTTTTGTGGTCAATCGGGACCGTGGTCAATCGGGACGGTGGTCAATCGGGACGGTGGTCAATCGGGACCGTGGTTAATCGGGACGTGGTCAATCGGGACGGTGGTCAATCGGGACGGTGGTCAATCGGGACGGTGTTCAATCGGGACGGTGGTCAATCGGGACGATGGTCAATCGGGACGTGGTCAATCGCAACGTGGTCAATTTCAACGTGGTCAATCGGAACGGTGATCAATATAACGTGGCCAAACGGGTGCCACTCGTAACATCGTACTGTTTTTGTACTAGTATAAATAAGTACAAATTTACAGTAACACATACATTACTAAAATAAGTAATAATAGTAGGTATACAGGGCCGGTTCTAACCCTGGTCCTCTCAGGGAGGTGAGGTGCGAGGGGATCTCGGTGGAGCGGGAGTATGACGTCACGCGGGATTTCGGTGGCGCGGGGGTTGCGGGGTGGGGGACGCATGTGTTGGATGTTTTATGACAAGCATAAACAAAAAGGAGCGATATTCTTTTGACGAGGATTTTGGGCCTAACCGAAATCATTTTCCCCTTCTTTTTTATTATTTTATTTTATTTTAAGAAAAAATTTAACAGCATCGATGTTCGACTGCTGTGTGCCCTTGCTGCGCGTGTGAGAGAGAACGATGATAGTGCGAAAAGAACGCATACGAGAGAGAGAGAACTAGACTTATAATAACTTAAAATTAATGCGAGAGCGCACGAAGGATTGGAGCGCAAGGGAAAGGCGTGTAAATAATTGCATTTTTTTTGTTACAATTAAAAATATATAATATAATTTATTTAAATGTGTGAGTTTAATAAAAAAGTATACAATATAAAAGTATATATAATATATATAAAAATATGCAATATGAAGGGGGATAGAGGGGACCGCTCCTGAAACAGAAGAAAACATATACATTTCATTAGTTTAAATTATTTAATAATTTATTTTAAGATACTTTTGATATATAATAAATTAAAAGATACTTACAATGTTATCCATGATCCATCTATTTTAATGTTTGCAAAGAGAACACATGTTGCACGGCATTATTTGATGTAAAGATTTCCCGCACTCTTTGCAGGACATATTGGTCAAATGTTGATAATTAATACATTGATGTACCCGAACAGAAGTAGCTTGTACAAATAGAAACGATAGTCGGAGAAAGCATTCGACGCAATATTTCGATCCATTTTCTTCATAATAGCATGATATACAACATATTTTTATTTCTTCATTTAATGTTAATATTTCGGGTAAGTCCAAATGTCGTTGTTTCTTTTGCAATAATGTATCACCATCTTCACTATCGTCACTATCGTAGTCACTGTCTGTCAAGGGTTCTATTTCTATATCAGACTTATCCTCGTCTGATAATTCACCAATATCCATCTCTCTCTCCTCTCTGTCTATCTCCATCCTCTCAGCCACAACTGGATCCATATCATAATCATCATCGATGAAAATTACGTTTTCTTCAGCTATTGCACAAGATTACCGAAACACAGAAGAGCAACGAAAGAAATGATACTCTAGTGCAGCAGACTCCTCTTCTATATTTTTAACATAAACAATATATAGCGGTATTCCTTGGAAGAGGATTGCATCTTAGGGCCCAACCTTTTTTTCTTTTCTTTTTTCTTTTCTTTTCTCTTTTCTTTTTTTTTTCTTTTTTCTACCAATATTCATGCTCTTTCTGCGTTGTATCTTCGCTTCCCACATTCAAAAGATGAGAAAGGATTGGACAAAATATATAAGGAGGAGGAGGAGGATTGAAATATATTAAATCATAGTACGGAGACGTGGGGGACGCTTGGGGACATGTTGGATGTTTTTTATCACAAGTATGAAATAAAAGTACAATATTACATAAGCCGATGTCCGGCTGGTAAACAGCGCTATTTGAAGAGGATTGGATATTAGGGCCAACCCAAAATTATTTTCCATATTTTTTATTGGAAGAATTGCAACGTATTAGCACCGATGTTCGGCTGCTTTATGCTCTTGCCACGCGTGTGAGAGAAAACGAATTTTTTCTGAGATGTAAATAAAAAAATGATTATTACGATACACCATACTTATTTATTTTACACAAAGATAAAAAGGTTTAGAAGAAATACAGGGATGATTGAAGTCACTGTGATTTGAGCGCATCGACACGCCAGTTGTAGGAGAGTATAGTGGTATCCTGTTAGAAAGATTTTTGCGCGATTTTACGTTCAAGATAGCGAACGGTATTGTTTATCGTGTGTATGTAAAAGTCACGTGCAAGTGCTCCGTAGAAAACTGTGACATAGTGTAAAAAAAGACAGGAAGAAATGGAAAACATCGAGCAGACTGAAAGCGATCTGGTGGAGCGATCTCGCCAAATTGGCACCTTGGGCGAGTATTTTGCATGGCTGCAACGTTGCGAGGAATTGATCAAAGAGCTCGAAGAACGCAGTCGTGTTAAGCGTCCGCGACTCTCGATCGGAAATAGACAATCTCTGGTGGCTAAAATCGCGCGACTCGAAGGTGCAAAAACTCGATTGCAGAGACGATTTATTCCCAGTGATGGTGATTACAGCGATGATAATAACGCGGAAAGGCGTTTGGCGAGAGATCGATACCGCGTTTGATAGCCGTATTCTGACCGGTGCTGTGATTAATGCAAACCATATCGAACCTCGTCAATTTCTCGAGGATGCCGAAGACATTGTGCTCGAGCAAATCCAAGACGTTATAAAAAGACACAACAGTGTAAAAGTTAGGGATGTACCGGATAGTAAATTTGCCGGATACCGGATATCGGATATCCGGAAATAATATAATACCGGATACCGGATACCCCGCCGAATATCCGGTAGACTAAATATCCGGCCGGATTGCCGGATATTTGCCGGATACAAGGTAATAATAAAAAAACCAAGAAAAGTATCCGATTTAATTATGATATTTTATATTTTATTTGCATAAGAATTATCAAAAATTGTAATTTAATATTAGTAAATTTTTCATGATGAACAATAACATTTCAGCATTCTGCGGTGACAATCTGTTTCGATTATCAGAATAAACTAACTTTCCCGCACTAAAAAGTCTTTCTGAATCGACAGAAGAAGGAGGAGCACTTAGGTATTTTATAACCAAACTTTTTAGATTAGGATATTCCAGAGCATGTGTTTTCCACCATATTAAAGGGTCCTCATTTCTAGGCGACAGTGGTATCATGAGGTATTTCGCTAGCTCAGCATTGTAGACAGCTGTTTTCTTTTTACTTCTGTCACTTGGTTGTCTCACAAGCGGTGTTTTGATTAATGAATCATCAAGACTATTATCAGTATCAGATTTTGAATTATTTACTATTTCGTCGAAACACTTCCAAATATCTTCGTGTGTTTCACCTATGACATCTCGTCTTTGAGAAGGGCTGACGTTATGACTCTGCGTACTATTTTCGGTATCATTAGTCACTCCTTTATTCATTTTTAGTAATTCTTCAACAATCCACTGTTTGGCTTTATTTTCGTCTGAACAAAATTTTGTTTTGAATCTTGGATCTAATACGGTAGCGAGCACAAAACATTTTTGATCCTTGACATTGAGTCCTACATATAACAATAGAAAATACAATTATTTATTTCAAAGAAAAAATAATAATGGGAATTCATTAAAGTAATAAACAATGTGTAATAAGTTTTTATAATAGAAAGGAAAAGACTTCTTCTTTCGACAAAAGACAAAACTAGATTGATTTATTAAAATTCATTTCTCTTTACAAACTAACTTAAGACTATACATTTAAACCTTAGTTCTACGAAAAAATCTAGTTACAATTAACAATATCAATTTACTTAAGGTAATTAAAAGATTTACTCGAATTTAATCTGCAATGGATTTATATGCACTTAAGCCTTAGTTCCACAAAGTAATTCAGTTATATCTAAATGCATTAATCTATTTAAGGCAATTGAAAAGAAATGTTTAGGATTTACCAAGAAAACAAAACGCGAGCAAACCATATCACTACAAATGTAATATAGGAATACCTATAGGATTTAGAAATCGTTCTTCCATAGCTTTTTTGAGATCTTCTTTCAACATCACTACTCCAGTATCTCTTTGTCGTTTTGAAAGATACGAGTGTAGAGTAACAATTGCCGGAATAACATATCCAATTGTCTCAAAATCTGAACTGGCTATTTTAGTCATTTCTTCAAATGGTTGGAGAACACGTATAACGTTTTCTACCATATTCCATTGTATAGCCGAAAGGCTTGGAATGTCTTTCTCCGCAGCATATGCAGTTACCGCTTGCCGTTGTTCATGAAGCCTTGACAACATATAAAATGTAGCGTTCCATGCTAACATCTTGAATTAACTTATGAACTGACAATTTCAAACTTTCTTGTATGTTTTTGAGTTTTGAGCAGGCGAGTGAAGAATGGCTAAAGTGTCCAACAATTTTCCGACATTTTCCCAAAATTTCAACGAAATTTCGATTTTTAAAAATGCAATCGTGAATTACAAGTTGTAAAGTGTGAATAAAACATCCTACACTCTCTCCTAACATATCTGTAAAATAAAATACACAATATCTATAATTTTAAATCAATTAGTCAACCGTATTCCATAGCTCCATTTTTACGAAACGAATACTATATATTAAAATTGCTTAAAAATAAAAATGCGTACCAGTTCCTATAATCATGTTAGAAGCATTATCCCTTAAAATGAGATGAATTTGACTAGAACTTATTTGCCATTCTTCCATCACATCATTTAATATCTGGCCGATATTGGAACCAGTATGACTGCCAGGAAAGTGTTTCGCGCTGAGTACAAGTATTTCTCTATTCATATCGTCACTTCGAATGAAATGAGCTGTCAGGCTTATGAATGATTCGTTATTTGTTGGACTAGTCCAAATATCGGTTGAGAATGATATGTTCTTCGCAGCAATTAATTTTTCTTTAATATATGCTTTTAAATTTTTATAGAGATATGGCATAATTTTTTCGGAAAAATATGTTCTACAAGGTAATGGATACTGCGGTGCTAAGTAATTCATCAACCTTTGAAATCCTTTTCGTTCAACTAGTGCGAATGGTTCAGCATCAAGAGCCATCATTTCGCCTAAAATGTAGCATTAATTGATGTTAATGTTACTTACTTATATATAAAAATTAAAAAATACTCACAGATCTTTTTGGTTATGTTCAAGGCTTTTGGATCCTTTTACTAAAAGTAAATACAGTGTTTAACGGTGAATTTGTGTCGGGTGATAAGCGTACAAATAAAAGTATAAATACGAGAAACTGTGAACTCTTTCGCACATCAGATTTACGCGAGTGGTACGAGCGCCGCGTTATCGAGCCCACTCTAGCATCGCTGGACGAATTTCAGGAACGCGATAGTGGCTGGGCATTGTCGCGAATTTGACTGTGAATATTAATAAATATAATCCAATGCGTGCGGGATGTTATATTAAATTGCCGCGAGAGATTGCGACGAAGAAAGCGATGGTTAACGTACAATCTAAAGACAATGCATGTTTCGCGTGGGCAGTGGTCGCCGCTCTATATCCCGCAGAAAGAAAGATGGAACGGGAATCATTGTACCCACCTTACGCGACAGAATCTCCGAGACATTGTGTTTCCAGTGACTGTAAATCAAATTAAAAAATTTGAACTCGCAAACAATATCTCGAGCAACGTGTACAGCATCGAGAAAGAGAACAACATTGCCCCGATACGTCTTTCGGAACAGAAGCGAGATAAGCACGTGAATCTGCTATACGTGGAAGACGATAACAACAGCGTCGGACATTTCGCGTGGATCAAGAATCTATCGCGACTTGTTAGTTCACAGTTGAGCAAAAAAGATCATAAGAAGTATATGTGACCGGTAAGTTTAATTTATATAATTCAAATAATTATAATTTATATAACAAATTGTTCAAATCTTAATTTAAAAAAATTTTTTCTTTTACAGATGTCTGCATTATTTTAGTTCAGATGACAAGTTGCAGTCGCATACGGTCGACTGTCGTGAGATGAATGACTGCGCTATGCGATTGCCGAGCGATAAGAACAAGTGGCTCAAATTCAACAACTTCAATCGGAAGGAGCGGATTCCATTCGTCGTGTACGCCGACCTAGAATGCGTTCTGGCCAAGACGGAGGAAGAACAACAAAAATTGTACCAACACCACCAAGTATTTAGCATAGCTTATTATGCACATTGTTCGTACGACGAATCTTTATCGGCGTATCATTCGCGTCGTAGCGCCGATTGTATAGCATGGTTCGTCGAAGATCTTAAAAATTTAGCGATTCGCGTTAAGAATATTTTATCGATTAATGTCCCCATGGTAGATTTGACGTTCGAAAAATGAAAAAAAATTTGTCACGCTACTCAATGTCATATATGCGAGAAACCGTTCGCGCAAGACGATACACGCGTACGCGATCATTGTCATTTGACCGGGCGGTACAAAGGTCCCGCGCATTCAAATTGTAATCTAAATTATAAAGAATCTTTTTGTATTCCTATAGTCTTTCACAATTTACCCGGTTACGATTCACACTTTATTATCGAGGATATAGTTACGAATATAGTTGCGTTCGAAGGGAAAGTCGAGTTATTTCTGATAACGAAAGAAAAATATATCGTTTACAAAAGATGTTTGTATGGAAGAAAAATAAAAAAATCATATAAAATTACGTTTCATCGATTCCTTTAAATTTCTCGCATAGAGTCTCGATAAATTGGCATCATTTTTAGACAAAGACAAACTCAAAATTTTTAAATCGGAATTTCAAAATTTATCAACTGAAAATTTCAATTTATTAATACGGAAGGGCGTCTTTCCGTACGAATACATCGACTCTGTGGACAAGTTGCAAGATACGCGTTTACCACCGCACGAATCGTTTTACAGTTCCTTGACTGGTGAAACTATATCAGAGAATGATTACGCGCACGCCGAGAACATCTGGACGCGATTTTCCATTCGAACGCTGGGCGAATATAGCGATTTGTATCTGAAAATCGACGTTATTAGCCGATATTTTCGAAAACTTTCGCGATAGTTGCATCAAAAGTTACGGATTCGACTCCGCGTATTACTACACTCTCCCCGGATACACGTGGGACACCATGTTAAAGCATACGAAGATTACGTTCGAGCTGCTTACAGATCGACATGGTTATGTTTATTGAACGTGGTATACGCGGCGGTCTAAGTCAATGTTCCAACAGATACGCGCGCGTTAATAACAAGTACATGGAGTCGTACGATCCATCGAAATCATCGTCGTACTTGATGTATTTTGACGTTAATAATTTATACGGATGGGCAATGTGCCAACCGTTGCCTTATACCGATTTTCGATGGGTCGACGACGCGTCGAATTTTGACGCATCATCTATAGCGCTAGATTCCCCTACAGGCTATAGCCTCGAAGTCGATCTCGAATACCCGCAACATCTTCACGATACCCACACCGACCTACCGTTTTGCCTGACGCGCGACAAGTCGCCCGGTAAGCGGGAATTCAAACTGTTTGTAACGTTATACGATAAGAAGCGTTACGTGATATACTACCGTAACCTACAGCAGTGTACACGTCACGGCCTTCGTGTGACAAAAATACATAGAATTTTACAGTTTTCTCAATCTCCGTGGCTTCGAAATTATATAGAATTAAATACACATTTCAGAACACTCGCGAAAAACGATTTCGAAAAAAATTTATACAAATTAATGAATAATGCTGTGTTTGGTAAAACGATGGAAAATGTGCGGAATCGTGTCGATGTAAAATTATTAACAAAATGGGACGGACGATACGGCGCGGAAGCGATGATCGCGAAACCGAATTTCCACAGCAGAAGCGTTTTTTCGGAAAATCTGATTGCGGTAGAATTGCGTAAACTCGAGGTGAAATTTTACAAACCGATTTACGTGGGTATGTGCATACTCGACATATCCAAGACGTGTCTGTACGAATTTCATCACGAGTACATATTTCCTCTGTATCGCGACAAATGTAAGATCATGTACACCGATACGGACAGTCTCGTATATCACATTGAGTGCGCGGATGTCAATGAGAACATGAAGCGCGATATCGCCAGATTTGACACGAGCGATTATGCGATGGACAATGCGTACGATATACCGCTTGTAAATAAAAAAGTACCGGGTCTGATGAAAGATGAAAATAACGATGCGATAATGACCGAATTCATCGGGCTCAGGGCAAAGATGTACGCGTTACGAGTGGACGGAAAGAAAGACACGAAGAAAGTTAAAGGCGTCAAGAGCAACGTTGTCGTGAGAACGATAACGTTTGACGATTACATGCGGTGTTTGAAAGAAGAAATTGAAATGACGCGCCAGCAGTCGGGTATACGATCTAAACTGCACAAAGTATACACGATTCACGAGACAAAAATTGCTTTGGGTCCGTACGACGATAAGCGGTATATCGTACCCGAAACCACAGATACATTACCGTGGGGACATTATAGGATACCATTGTAATATGTAATGTAAAATATAAAATGTAAAATGTGTGTGATAAACTATCTATTAAAAGAAATATTAATAAAGATTTTTATTTTTTATATTGCATATATTTTTATGTAATGTATATTTCATACATCTTATTATCTTATTTAAAAAATACATGTACTATCGAAAGGAATATTAATAAGGATTTTTTGTATTTTTTATATTTCATATATTTTTATGTGTATCGCATACATTTTATTATATCTTATTAAAAATACATGTACTATCAAAAGGAATATTGATAAGGATTTTTATGTATATTTTCATTTCTTGAAAATAAACACTGTATGATTAATTAAATCATATTGTCCTTATGTATCCAAGAGTTGTGCGAATTGTCAAATCCCAGCCATTTCGCGTAAACTTCGTCACCCCTCCTGCGCAGTACTTTCTCCACGAGATACACATCCGGATAATTCGCGCGATGCAACTCGTGTTCGTAGAACGCTCCAACGATAGATTTTTTGCGATAATCCTCAAGTAGATAGCTTACGGGATTAGTATGCTGCACTTTTATAATTTTAAACACCTCGGTTGTCCAATTTGGCGTGTAACCCTTCTTGAAAACTGTCTTGTACTTGCTATCGCGTACCAAGTCATCTACTTTGAATTTCGCCGGACCCGCGATATTTACACGGTTGTACACAGTAGCCAAGAATCTTTCAGCGATCGCAGGAGTAACGTCGACGGGCCGCATACCGATCGTTCGATGCTTGCGCGCGTTGTAATCCAATACGAATCCCGACAACACGTTGATCCACTTGTAAGATCCGTTTAGCATAAACATCTTCCACATGTCGTTTTTCAGCGTGCGATTGAATCGCTCAATGATCGATGCCTTTAATGTCGAATATGTAGAATAATGATTGATGTCATGTTTCCGCATGAGCCGTTGCACGTCGGCATTATAAAATTCCTTCCTCATATCCGTCTGTATATTTTTCGGACATCTCTTGCTATCTCGAATTATCTCGGCGATAGCGTCAGCTGTCTCGCTTCCGCCTTTACTCTTGAGTGGTACGGCCACGCGTACTTGCTCAACGCATCGATGACAGTGAGTATGTAGTTGTAACCTCTGTTGAAACGAGAGTACGGACGCATCTCGACGATGTCGACTTGCCACAGGTCATCGTATCCCCGCACTATGACGTTTCTTCGGGGGAAATTTTTTCTCGCTGGTGCGTGCATTTCGTTCACCAACTGCCGTTTCTCTAAACTATGTTGTTTCGTCGCTTCCTCGGTCATTCCCGATCATCGTTTCGATTCGTCGATCAAATAAACGATACGTATCACCGTACGTTTTATTATTCATTGTCACTCTTTAGCCGTTCCTAAGCCGTTCCTTAGCCGTTCACTGCCGTTCGATAGCCGTTCAATAGCCGTTCGTAGCCATTCACTGCTGTTCTTGACCCGTTTGTTGTTGTTCTTGAGCCGTTTGTTGACGTAATTGATCCTATTGGTAATCGCTTTTAAGTAGCCCGTAGCCTCGTTCACAATCGTTTCTGACCCATTCGTAGCTTCGTTGACCCGTTTGTTGTCGTTCTTGAGCCGTTTGTTGGCGTGATTGACCCTGTTGGTAGTCGCTTTTAAGTAGCCCATAGCCTCGTTCACACAATCGTTTCTGACTCGTTCGTAGCTTCGTTGACAATCGTTTTTGACTCGTTCGTAGCCGTTCCAGACTTGTATGCCGCCTCGTATGTAACCGTTCCTGACGTGTTCATAACCTTGTTCGCAGCCGTGTTTGAGGTGCCCGTAGCCTCGTTCGCAGCTGTTCTTGAATCATTCGTAGCCTCGTTCGAGGGCGTTTCCTCTTCGATCACTGCCACTCATTATAGCTCGATAACCGTTCGTAGCCGTTCGATAAGCCTTTGTAGATGTTTAATAATTGTACAACAGCCGCTCCTAAGCCGTTCACTACAGCACATTACAGGTTGATAACCGTTTCTGAATTAGTGTTAATCGTATGACGAAGCTCGTTTATCGCAGTCTGCAAAGCTCGCACGTCCTTCTCGAATGCAGTCAGCTTCTCGTCTGATTCTTTCTGTTGATTCTTCAACGTTTTAACGCATTCTTCCACATACAGTTTATTGACTGCATCGGTATCAGCCTCAGGTTGCGCTACACGGCGAATCTTGCGCGACCTCGCGTCATAGTCCGTAGCGACGCGACACAGAGCGTTTTGACGCAAGTAACTTGTCACCAATTTACCCCAATGATCGCTTGTGCTGATTTCTTCATTTCTCCGTTCGAATAATCCAAATTTGTTGATAGGCATTTTTTTTTTATGCGAGTGACGTCGATCGACTGATTAGTTTTGTCGAGACACCGTTTAATTTATAATGCCGGCTTCGCGAAGCTCTTCTATGATCGACAGGATCTCGTTGTCGTCAGCGTTGTGGCCAGCTCGACGCGAAGCATCGAGCAATCGTAGGGTGATCCACTAGCTCGTTGGGATCGTCCCAGTGCACGTAATCGATCTTATTGTCGGTTAGCGTCATTGCGCGAGGTGTGAATACTACCGTTCCAGATTTTTTCTTTTTCAATTCGATCGACATCAACGGCGCGATTATTTGTTTATACTTGTATTCCTTGTTGCTCTTTAATTGACCTTGCTCATCATGTTGACATTTATGCGCACTCGTCGCCATCAATATTGTTCAAAACGCCCTCGCTAAAGAGAGCGAGGGTCCGAGCGATCATTCGGCGCCCCTGGCAGCTGTTAGCGCGATATCGCTTTGTCAGCGCAATTTAAAAACAGCGCTTGCCTTTCTCGAAAGATCCAAGGAAAATAAATAAATTCTTAACCGTTCGTTTTGAACATTTATATTAGTTCACGAAAAATCGGGATCTTTCGAGAAGGGCTCCACTATAAATTGACGCGCTCGCGGAACACGGCGCTTCTTGGCTTAAAAATATTCGACGCGCTCACTTATCTCTCGATCACGAAAAAACGTTCTTCCGTCGCTCGCGGATTGAATCAGTCGTCTCCGTTGCTCGCGGATTCTGAAATCGCTTTCGCATAATTAATTTAAGACTGTGTAATTAGTGTAATAATTGTTTATAATTAACTGACTATTATTGTTAAAAGACTTAGATTTATCGTCGGATTAATTTCTATTCTTTCTTTTTCCTCGCGGATTCTTATCCTCCGGTTTCGCGCTTGCTTCCCGTGTCAATCTCGCAAAAACTCTATCATTTGCTGGTCCTTCGAGCCGGATCTTTAGTGACCGGTTTTTCTACGACGCGGAGTGAGTGCGAAGTGTTGTGGTTTTCTGTGCTCCGAACACCAGTCACCTGAAATTCAGTCATCATGAGTCGCAAGGCCGAGTTGACAATCACCGCCGCAACGGATCTCTACGGCAAAATTGCCCGTACTCACGAGAACCTGATGAAGCTGGGCGCTGCCAAGATCACGGTGGGCGCAGTGGAGGCGCGATTGCAGTCCTTGGAAAGGTATTCGACGAAGTTTGACGCGCACAACGATGAGCTCTTGAATTATCTCGACCAAGTGGCCGATTCAGAGTACATAAGACTCGACATACCTGCTCTGGCTGAAGAGGCCTACCTCGCCAATAAAGGTCTGCTGTTGGACCTCCTGCGTAACCTCAAGACGGAAGAAAAGGAAGCTGGCACGAAAGGGTTAGAGCCGTCCTCACAAGCACTCCGCACGACTCTTCCGAGGATCCAGCTGCCCCACTTCTCCGGGAAGTACGAGGATTGGCCAGCCTTCCGTGATCTCTTCCAATCGCTAATCGGAAGGGACACTCTCACGTCCTCAGCCGAGAAGCTCCATTACCTGAAGACATGCCTGAAAGGAGAAGCAGAATTATTGATTCGAAGCCTGCCCACGACAAGCGAGAATTTCGAACGCGCATGGGATGTTCTCATTGCTTACTATGAGAACAAGCGGCTCCTGGTGCGCAGTTACATCTCCCAGTTCACGTCACTCCAGAAGCTGAAGAGCGAGTCCGTGGTGGAACTGCGCAAACTTTGCCACAGCGTGAAGAGCACGGTAGGATCACTGGAGAGCATTGGGCGCCCGATCACGAAGGGTGAAGATCTTTTTGTGCACCTCGTCGTTGACCTGCTCGATCCTCGATCTCGCCGAGAGTGGGAGAATTTCATTAGTAATTCCAACGATCCACTCTCGTACGACAAACTGCAGCTCTTCTTGGATCGTCGGCTGCACACTTTAGAATCGTTGCAGCCTGTCAAAGTCGAGGCCATTCCTTCTAAACCGCATCCGAGTCCGACACAGAAGACTCGCACTCTTCACACACGTAAGCAGGACAGTAAGCGAGGTCGCTGCTCCCTATGTGGTCAGGATCACTATATAATGTTCTGTGACCTTTACCAGAGCAAGACGGCGGAGGAAAGGAAGCGTCACGTCGAGGCGAACGACTTGTGCCTGAACTGCCTAGGAAGGCACAAGGTAAGCGAGTGTGCTTCTCAAAAGACTTGTTCGTCGTGTCGCGCGCGTCACCACACGACCCTCCACGAGGCATGTCCGTCCGTCGAGAGCACTAAGACGTCACACTTAGCGCAACACAAAGTCGAGGCGACGACGACAGTTCTCCTCGCTACCGCGCGCGTTCGCGTCCTGGACCGGTTCGGCCGCGCTCACACAGCACGCGCACTAGTTGACCAGGGCTCGGAGTCCTCGCTAGTTTCCGAAGCTTTGGCCCAACGTCTTCGCCTGGGTCGGTCTCCTACCTCCGTCGCCGTGTATGGAATCGGCGGCAAGCAGACGGGCCTCGCCCGCGGTCAAGTCACTCTTCAGATCCGCTCCCTGCGCGACGGGCCCTTAATAAGCGTGGCCGCCTTGGTTTTCCCCCGGCTCACACTTTATGAAGGCGGAATCAAGGCCGATCGTCGAGCGTGGACGCACATCCATGGGCTGGAACTCGCCGATCCGGACTTCTTGGCGACGGATCCCATAGACATCCTTCTAGGAGCAGACGTCTACGCCATGATCCTCCAGGCTGGACTTCGACGAGGGAAATCGCGGGAACCTGTGGCACAAAAGACGGCGCTGGGCTGGATATTGTCTGGGGCCGTTGGTACGACGTCCACATCGCGCCATGCGTCAGCACATCACTGCCTGGTCGAGGAAGACCTAGGCGCTCTCGTACAAAGGTTCTGGCAGCAAGAAGAACTACCCGACGCCGCGGTAACTCTCTCGCCCGCGGATCAACAGTGCGAGAACTTTTTCCGCCAGACACATTCGCGGTCCGCGGACGGTCGGTACGTCGTACGTCTGCCGGTTGTTGCCCCGCTGCCAGACTTCTCGGCGACGCGCTCCACGGCTTTACGAGTTCTCTTCAGCATGGAGAGACGTTTCGCTCGGGATCCTCCTTTTCGAGCTCTCTATGCTGACTTCATGCGGCAGTATGAGGACCTGCGTCATATGTCTCGCGTGACTCCGGACGCCACGTCGCGCAAACCGGTGCATTACTTGCCGCATCACGGCGTGCTGCGAAAGAACAGTCACCACGAAGTTGCGCGTAGTTTTTAACGGCTCCACGCCAACTACTTCGAGAAGAACCCTCAACGACCACTTGATGGTGGGTCCGAACTTGCTACCTCCGCTCGCCGACGTGCTACTCCGTTGGCGACGGCACCGCTTCGGTCTAGCCACCGACGTCGAAAAGATGTTTCGACAGATCTTGGTACACCCGGATGACAGGGATCTGCAAAGGATCCTGTGGCGTGATTCCCCGCAAGACAGCCCTGCCGAGTACCAGCTGAGCACAGTAACCTACGGCCTAGCGTGTGCTCCGTTTCTAGCGATGCGCGCTCTCAGGCAATTAGCTGAGGACGAGGGTAAGCAGTACCCTCTAGGAGCGGCCGTTCTCCTGCGAGATGTCTACATGGACGACATCTTGACCGGAGCAGCGACGATGGCGGAGACCCAGGAGATGTGCAAACAGCTGTCCAGTATCTGCATGGCGGGCGGCTTTCCTCTCCGGAAGTGGTCAGCCAGCGACTCAGCGGTGATCTGGGACATCCCGCCGGAGCACCGGTTGCAGCGCGAGACCCGTGACTGGCGACCACACGAGGCTCACTCCACCTTAGGACTGCAGTGGCACCCCGCCACGGACGACTTCTCTTTCGCCACCCGACACATCGCACTGCCATCCGTCACCAAGAGATCTGTGCTGTCTCTGGTGGCGCAGCTATTCGACCCTCTCGGCTGGCTAGCACCGGTCGTGGTCCGCGCCAAGATTGCCTTTCAATCGACTTGGCTTCAAGGACTTGAGTGGGACGCCCCGCTCGACGACGCCTCCGCGTCAGCTTGGGTCACCTTTCACGCCCAGATACCAGTACTCGAGCAAATCCGAGTACCTCGCTGGATTAATCTGGGTCCTTCTTGCACCCGCATCGAGGTCCATGGCTTCTCCGACGCCTCAGAACGAGCATATTCCGCTGTCGTGTACCTAAAAACATGATCAAACGACTCGTGGATTGTCCGCCTCATCACCGCGAAAACAAAGGTCACACCGCTCAAACAGGTGTCCTTACCTCGTTTGGAGTTAAGCGCCGCCGTCCTTCTCTGCCGACTAGCCAAACACGCCTTGGCAATCCTCGACCTGACTGCGCCACTTCACCTATGGACGGACTCCACCGTCACGCTGGGCTGGATCCGCGGCCACCCATCCAGGTGGCAAACCTACGTCGCGAACCACGTCTCAGAGATTCAGAGGACCACTCCGCAGGCTGCGTGGCATCACGTTCCAGGCCAGGACAACCCAGCCGACTGCGCTTCCCGAGGTCTCTCCCCCAACTGCAGAGCCATCCGCTGTGGTGGCAAGGTCCGCCTTGGCTAAGCTTAGACGCCACCGCATGGCCGACCGCCGTCGGCCACATCACCGAAGAGCACCTGCCGGAGAAGCGCACTCGAGTCCATGTCAAAGCCACAGCAGCGCCGATGAGCGAGGCCGTCGAGCTGGTGCGGTTCTCCTCCCTGAAGAGGCTCCTACGCGTGACAGCCTGGTGTCGGCGGTGGCTGAGAGTAAGGGAGAATCGGGCCACTGGCACTCAACGGCGCTTCCCCAGTACTCTGTCCGCTGAGGAAATAGAGAGAGCTCGAGTTTGTTGGATCCGGCGAGTACAATCTGAAAAATTCAGGGCCGAGTTAAAATTAATAAGTCAGGGCCTTGCCCTAAATAAATCAAACTCACTTGCTCGCTTTAGTCCCTTTTTAGATACCGAGGGTCTCCTGCGAGTTGGGGGTCGACTCAAGCACTCCATCCTAGCCTATGACGAGCGTCACCCCGTCCTCCTGCCGAAGGGCTCGCACCTCACTCGGCTAATTGTGGACGACTGCCATAAACGAGCGTTGCACGGCGGAACGCAGCTCACTCTCTCATTAATCCGCCAACAGTATTGGATTCCACGGGGTCGAGCACTTGTCAAGGAGGCTATCCTACGATGTCTTCCTTGCGTGCGATGGCGGGCGGCGACCCCACAACAGCTGATGAGCGATCTTCCACGGGAGCGCGTGGTGCCAGCGAGGCCCTTCCTTCACACTGGGGTCGATTATGCCGGGCCGATTCAACTTCGCACAACAAAGGGCGCGGACTCCTACAAGGCCTTCGTAGCGGTCTTCGTCTGCCTTGCTTCCAGAGCCGTACACCTCGAAGTAGTCTCCGACTACACGGCCGAGGCCTTCCTTGCAGCCCTCAGGCGGTTCGTCTCTCGCCGAGGCATCTGTCGCAGCCTTCGAAGCGACTGCGGGACCACCGCGGGAGCTGATTCCCAGCTGACAGCCCTCTTCACCGCGGGCACGCCAGAAAGCCACCGGATCATCGACAGCCTCGCCTCCGAGAGGATCGAGTGGAAGTTCAATCCTCCCTCGGCGCCGCACTTCGGAGGCATTTGGGAGGCCGCAGTCAAGTCGCTCAAACACCATCTCCGACGAGTGATTGGCGACGCCAAGCTGACGTTCGAGGGGATGAGTACCTTCCTCACTCAGATAGAAGCGTGCCTTAATTCGCGGCCGCTGCAGGCACTCTCGGACGACCCTGAGGACTTGGCTGCGCTGACGCCTGGACACTTCCTGGTGGGAGCCGCCTTGACTGCAGTGCCCGAGCCATCCTTGCTGGATGAACCAACGTCCCGCTTATCCCGCTGGCAGCTCCTGCAAAAAATGAGAGACCATTTTTGGGAACGCTGGTCGAAGGAGTACCTCCACTTCATTACTCACCGTCCTAAGTGGTTGCGCGAGGAGACGGGCTTCAAGGTCGGCCGACTTTGCCTTATCCGGAACGAACTCACACCACCCACGAAATGGCCACTCGCGCGTATCGCGAAAATCCACCCCGGAGAGGATGGTCAAGTTCGCGTAGTTACATTGCGCACCGCAGCCTCCGAGTTGGTACGACCCGTCGTGAAACTCGTCGTGCTACCCATCAACGGTCATGGAGATCACGAGCCTCCATCACAATAGTTCGGAACGTCCGACGAGCTACATATCCTCCGCTAGCCATTCTTTTCGCCAAACGCTCTTGGCGAGGCGGGCGGAAATGTTCAAAACGCCCTCGCTAAAGAGAGCGAGGGTCCGAGCGATCATTCGGCGCCCCTGGCAGCCGTTAGCGCGATATCGCTTTGTCAGCGCAATTTAAAAACAGCGCTTGCCCTTCTCGAAAGATCCAAGGAAAATAAATAAATTCTTAACCGTTCGTTTTGAACATTTATATTAGTTCACGAAAAATCGGGATCTTTCGAGAAGGGCTCCACTATAAATTGACGCGCTCGCGGAACACGGCGCTTCTTGGCTTAAAAGTACTCGACGCGCTCACTTATCTCTCGATCACGAAAAAACGTTCTTCCGTCGCTCGCGGATTGAATCAGTCGTCTCCGTTGCTCGCGGATTCTGAAATCGCTTTCGCATAATTAATTTAAGACTGTGTAATTAGTGTAATAATTGGTTATAATAAACTGACTATTATTGTTAAAAGACTTAGATTTATCGTCGGATTAATTTCTCTTCTTTCTTTTTCCTCGCGGATTCTTATCCTCCGGTTTCGCGCTTGCTTCCCGCGACAATCTCGCAAATACTCTATCAAATATGTTCTTATATTTTTGCACATCGTCCTCAGTGTATATGACGTCATCGGGAATTCTCTTGAAGATCAACTCGTATAATGCCCTGGTATACCAATGTATCTCACTTTGTCTATGATTATAGAGTCATCTTTGTCAATGTCGAATCGTTTGTTACCGAGAGGCATTCCATTCTCATCGAAATAGACACCGTACACGTGATCGATCTCGTTTTTTTTTCGTCGCCGCTAAGAAGAACGCCCATGTACTTTTGTCCGAGTGGTCCCAAGTGCTCTCGTAACATTTCCTGACCTTGCGACGTTTGTAACCTGTTTCGAACGGATGATTCGAGCGGGTTGACCGGGCTTTCGAAAACTTCTTCGATCTCAAGAAATTTGGGTATCGTGGATTGTTGTACAGTTCTCGTTGTCGCGAACGGTGTAGAGGTTATCAGCAGTTCATCCGATGTACGCGGCATCAATAAACGCTTCGCCTTCAATCGTTTCCTCTTTTTCGGTGTCGCATCCTCCTCCTCCTCCTCCTCCTTCTCCCTGTACCGCTTGATGGGTAATGTTTTGATTATAGCGTCAGCGTTACTCTCATTCTCCTCTTTCTTCTTGTACCGCTCGATGGGTAATGTTTTAATTATAGCGTCAGCGTTACTCTCCGGCTCGTTTTTCACCGCGATAAAGCTAGAATTGTCGGCGATTTTTTGTAGTGGCTCGATAATAGGTCTAAAATGAGTCTTGACCGCGATATCGTCGTCGAGTTTACCGGTCTTCAATGCACGATGTTTCTTGCGGATCGATTCGCTCGTTTTCTCAATCTCCCTCGCAATCTTTTCACGCTCACGAATATTATCGCTTTCAGCCATGTTGACGGAATGTCGAGCGTTTTACCCCTCTCGACGGAATGTCGGCAGCGACTAATCGTTTTGCGGTATCGCGAACACGTTAAATCCTTTTCTGTATCGCCCGTTCGTAAACGCACTGTCCTTATCAATCACTAGGAATCCATACTTTTGCTGCCAACAAGTACGACATAATTCACTGAAATCCTCGTACGACATGTCAGTATTCACGTGATCGTTGTACACGTGTTTCAAGTTGGTACCATCCTGTTTAAACAAGATCAGCAGGTTCGCGTTGTCGCGTATAAGATGTTTTGGTATTCTCGCGTACGTCTGACAGAGATAGAAGCAGTCGACGTTCGAGTGACGACCCATTGAGAAGTACTCTTTTATCGTATCTTGCTTGTCGCATGCCACGTCATCGAAGACGAAAATCGAGTTTGGACGTGCCTCGCTCAGTGGAATGACGTCACTGTTATTCGAGAACGTAAAGTAGCCGATTTCGTCGATCGGCGATCAACAAATTCTCCAGATATCGATATTTCGGCTGTTGTAGCGACTTCGAGTATACGTACACGTTCTCGAAACGTACACCGTGTGGACTTTCTAGTAGACTTACCAGAACGTTGGTTTTACCACAATTCGAGGGGCCGCAAATGATCGCGCGTATAGTAGTCGGTAACATCGTACCGTGTCTGCGCATCTCCGCGTTGTCCCCTATTGATCGTAATCTGTCGTCGCAATTCATCACGCGTATCGTCAAATGCTGTCGTACGAATCGCATGTTTTCTCTTTCGAATCAGTTTTACGAATGATCGCGAGGGGAAGACCTATTTATAGAGGTGTTGCGACTCGAAACCGTTCAGTATCAAAAATGTTTCTCCTTCTGTCGGACAAAAGAGACATTCTCAGGCTTACCGCCAAACAACTGCAGTATATCCCAAAGATTCTTTTATTGCAAAATTTTGGTGATTACGTGGAACGATTGTGGGACAAGTTTCCAGAATATATAAAGGCTGATTCGGAGGTTCAACAATATCGTCCGTGCATGCGACATTACAATCAGCCGTGGCAGGAAACGCACATCGACGATCCGCCACCGTTAATAAAAGATTGCGGCATATGTCAGCGAGAATCGTAAGAGGTTGCAGTCTCTTAAATCACGCGATATACGCGCTTCCGATCGAATTCCATATTCCCGGTTATCAGTTTTGCAGGTCAGGCACACGGTTGGAGAAGCGATTAGCCAGAGGTGATCGAGGTATAAATCCATTGGACGCGGCGTGTCGCGAACACGATATAGAATACTGTCGGAACAACGATCTCATCGAGAGACTCGCTGCGGATAGGATACTCGCCCAGAAAGCACGGAATCGCATCGTTGCGAGAGATTCGACTCTCGGCGAGAGAGCCGCCGTCACAGCTGTCTGGACAGCGATGAAAGCCAAGACGAAGCTCGGTATGGGTCTGAAGAGGACGAAGACGAAGACGAAGAAGAAGACGGGGAAGAAACGGATACTTCCGATAGCGAAATGCGGCGGTGCACTATGTCGAAAGAAGCAGTAGCGGCAGCGACGTTGGAAGACGCGTTTAAAATAATTACGTGCCGAGTCGTAATAAAATTTCATCGTTTGAGAACAAATGTGACGAGTAAGTTTTATTTAACTTTTTTCTATTTTTATAATTGTATTATTATTACTATTATTTAATTTTAATTTTTTTCTGTAGCATTTCGTTGGAGCATCGTGCGATTCGTATACTAGGTAGACGATACGCATTGACAGCTACGGAATTCAAATTCCTCGAAATTGGTATCAATGTGGGTCCACCGAGTTACGTGGAGATTGCCATAGGAGATCATCGAGGAATGGAACTGATATCTCTCGAAACGTGGAAGGGACTCTACGAGCAACGTCGCAATATTCAAAATTTACTTCGGAACGACTCTAAAGATGATTACAATTTCATAAGCGTTGGACCGCTAACAGTGAGAGTTCGTACAATTAACGACGTCAAACTCATAAGTCTCGAATCTTCAGATGTACGCATGATGATGGTCGAATCGACGTTACATCGTATGTTTGATCTCGATCAATGCATAGAAGTAACTTTTGATCGATTAGATAAAATTATCCAAACAGTTGATGTCAAATTTACGCAATTCTGCAATATCGCGTCCACTGACGTCCACTAACGGATCCGAAAGAAGTATCATATGTAATACGCGCGAGTGATGTTTTCAACAAGCATCAACATGTCGATTGCGAGCTGGCAGCTTTAGCTTTTAATTTTTAATATGTAAGACAAAAATTATATTTGTATACTAAATATATAAGCAGAATAAATAGTTATAAGTCTATATCATGGTGTACTTTCTTTGCGTTTGGCGCGCTCTCCCGTCCCAGCTTGCATAGCTCCTTGCGAGAGAATTATCATGAGAGAACAAATACTAGGAAAGAAAAAGACAGAAAGAGTGATACGGCGCAATCGAGAGAAGAGATATCACGCAATGAAAATATTTTTGATAATTTAATATAATTTTTTAATAGTTTTTTTATAGTTTAGTAATAAATGGAGCAATGAAAAGAGAGGGAAAGAGAGGAATTTTGAAAATAAATAAGATTTTTTATATTAATAATTTTTAATAAAAATAAAATGTGTATTATACAAAGTGTATAAAAGATAATGTAAGAAAAATTTAAAAGAATTTAAAATATAAAAAATATAAATGTGTATTATACAAAGTGTGTAAAAGATAATGTAAAAAAATTTAAAAAGAATTTAAAAAATATACAAAAATATAAATGAATAGGAAGGCGACGACAACGATGATATGGTGGTGTCGATGAGAAGCGATAGTGGGGCGGCCGGTGGAAGAGTGGTGACGGCGCGGAGTAATGGTCGGTGACTCCTTCTGCACATAAAAAAATTTATTAATTATTTTAATAATTTAAAAATAAATACCTACACATGCGACCTACCTCCAATTAATGATCAGCATCCGTATTAGAATCAGAATCAAAATCAGAATAACCGATGGTATATTCTAGATATAGCAACCAATAGTTATGTTGGTGAATTCCTCGCATCCTTTCAGAATACGCTTCTCGATTCCCGCCTGGCAAACAGCAATCTCTGCAAATGGCTGCCTCTAGTTTATTCCTCTCTCTAATCTGTATATACGATTGTAGATCAGAGGTCGCGGTTGCAGAATTTCTTACGCCAAGTTCGCGATTTCTTAAATATCGTAACACCGACATGTTTATTAATTTTTTACGTTGCTCTCACACTTTATACAGTCTTATTCACTTTATACAGTCTTATTCACTTTATACAGTATCTTAATGTTTTTTTTTACCGCGTGCACTGTGGGCACATGTTGTACGGAAATGTTAAATATAATGGATCTTTACAATTTGAACAAAAGCGTCCATCTGTTGCATCCAATGTTTCAATTACATGTTTTCGGACAGCATTTGGCTGTCTACACCTTGTAATGAAATCATGCATGATGGACATACGGCTAAAGCGCCGCCAGTCGAATAGTAAAAATA